GTTGGAGACGAAATTTTTGCTTCAAAATTTGCATGAATAATGTCGATTGTGAAACTGGTAACATTGAGAAGTTTAACAGTTTTGATTGGCTTCAGAATAAACTGTTCAAGCAAACTCTGTGAATTTTGCAGCGCCCTGCCGAGCAATGATCAGCTTTCTCAATGCAGAACTTGAGGAAGGAGTTGCACTGAATTGAAGCGGATCGCAGCGGATTAAAAACTTCGACAACTAGGAACAGAATGGACCGCAATAACAACTCATACAACAGTTCTGTAACTGAAAATTGAAGTGCAAATTTGGGCTGCTTTATGGATCATACTTTAGAGTTTCTGACTGTTACACCGAGCCTTACAGACGGCTTAACTGCGAAAAAAAAGATTTGTTTTATCATACATTCATGAACAAGTGGAAATATGAGCCGACGAAAACACTTCTTCAACAGGCTGTGCCCTAGTATTACATTCCAGACTGTTCTGCACAGCGAGAATCGCTAGCTGTTAAATTTTGCCGGAGTAGATGCAACTACTAAATCATTGATTATTTTCACTATTGACCCTTGCTTATCAATTCGACGTGAGGGGCGGAACATCTTCTAGAAGCAAAGAATACATTTTATAAAATACTTTTCCAAATTTGGGTCTTTCTTTGGGCTATTTTCGTTGGTCCATTCGAATCGATTTCTGCCGGTCGGGCTTGTGTGTGTGTGTTTGCGTGTATGTATGTGTTAACATTGTATTCTCGTATTTGCATAAGTCATCTCTTCCACTGGAAACTTTCTACCCGTGCATCGTCGATGGCGGTGTTGACAGTTTTTGTTAGTGATAATGGAGCACCTTTGTTGTGTGTTCAAGACGCGGCTTACGCTACCAAAGAATTTTGGAGAGAAGTAACAGTTCTGAAGAAAAATAGTTTGTTTCCTCGGAGAACTCAGCTTTTTTCTTCTGGCTGTGCTGGATAAGAGACTCGAAATTGAGGCAAATTTTTTGTGCGACCTCAGTTTAGATGCTGCCTAATGTTGTGACTTGAAAGCCAAGAAGTTTTAGTCGACAGCTCAGTTCACTAGTCACGAAATTAGTTAATAAGGCTAACGCGTTTTTTGATATACTTTTTCGTGCAACTTCAGATCTAGACACTATTTCATTTTATAAATGTAAAGCCACGAAGTTATAATCAATAGATATGAAAGATCAATTCACTAAGCAGCTTGCTGTGTGCTTATATATCATTTAGCTTCACACCAGACTACTTTTATGGCTTCACTGCGGGGCAAGCTCTGAAGCCATAAAAGTAATGCGAAATTCTTGGGTTTCAGACAACAGTATAATGCCGCGTAAGTGATTTGGAATCATTTTTCAAGCTCTGCTGTTGTCACACCGGTAGCCATATGTCCAGATAGAGGTTACTTTGCAGCTCCAACTGACATTTCACGAACCTAAAATTTTATGATGCCTTTTGCACAGTAAGATGATTGGAAAAACAATATGACGGATTTTGCATGAATCAATACTTTCTCTCAGTTACTTACTTCATCCAGCAACAGATTATTGCAGAAAAAGATGTGTGCAGCACCGACTGCTTTTTTTAGCTTTCCAAATTTATTGACAGAAGAGTTTGTGTTGACATACTGGAATCTGTCAAAAAAGAGCTCGCAGTTTGTAGGAGAAGTGCACCTGCCTACTCCTTATTATTTCTTTCAGCAAACAGGGAAGAGGCCGAGCTCAGACACTTCACTACTCGATTCTTAATTGGTTCCCTCGACTCCATCGGGTAGCGCGTGCCCTGTCCATGATGAATTAATTAGGTCGTCCTTCGGCCGCTTATTTTTCGAAGTTGTTCGCTTTCAAGCGAGCGCTTCGCCACACATCTCCTCCAAACAATTCAAAATCAAAACATGATGCTTTGTTCCCACCGGAGAGTGTGGGTGTGCAGTGGGAAAAACAGTAAGGAATTTTGTTAGTGCAATTTTTCCGCATCAATCATCTCCTTTACTGCACTGTTTGCAAGCAAGTCAGCGAATTGTCAAGGCTAAAGAACGGCCGTGCTTAATTAATGTTTATAAGCCAGTTTGAATTTACGTCCTTACTGCAGTCACCGTGAAGGTGCACGACGAAATCAGACACACGAACAAATGCTTAGACTCCTAGAGGTGCATCAGCTATCCTCGTTTTGCTATTGTGAGTTTGCAGGAACTCCAACTGGCTGTCTCTGGCTATTTGTTACTCTTTCCTTATTTCACAGGAGAAGTTTTTAATCAGCAACCTGTTGTTTTTAAACGCCTGTTTCTAGACTCCCATTTGAAAAAAATGCAAAAAATTGAAATGTGGGAGCCACCACAGTGGCGTGCTTTGATAGCTTCTGACACATGCATGATATTCGTAAAGTTCACATCACCTGACTGGATTGCTTTAAAAATGTGAAAAAAAAACTAATGTTTTGAGAATTAAGAATACCAAGACAATTAAGATAATCGGTGTGGATCTCTCGTGTTT